AGATTTAAATAACCTATACGACAGTCACAAAGTGCAAACCAGTGGTCTTTGTTGCAGCTTATTTGTATAAGAATGGGCTGCACCTGAATAACTTCTAAAAAAAAATAAGCCAAGAATCATTCAAGCAAATGAGCGGCAGTTAGACGGGTTACTTTGGATACAAGATAATATACGTTGGATTTATAACTTCTAATAGTTTAGAGGTTCAGCTGGCCCCATGGTAAAGTAAAGTGTGCGGGAACGTATAGCTGTTTCATGGATCTACGTAATTACATGTTTATAATAATTATAATATCCCTGTATGCACATATACCGAGTATACAAGGTAAGGATACGTATTACGTTTACTTTGTATACACGACTTCTGTTTGAACGATCACGTTTACTTGACTATGAATTGACGTCACAATTGAGACAAATACCATATGAACCATTGCTTTAGTTTGGGACTCAGTAAAACCAGTGACCTCGGAAACGCATGCCTTCGGCAACTGGGTGACAAACTGTTTTTTATATATTAACATTTTCGCAACAGATATAACACAGATAGAATCGATATGGTAAAGATTTTTAGTACAACGAATATTTATTTTGTCCAACCAACTAGTTCAGTGTGTTACGATTGAACCAAGACTCGATATTGAGGTCACTAGCATACTCTCTAGGCCGGTTCAAGGCGTGACTTTGACCCCCTCTTCCATTCCAAACTGGGTGCGGCGCACTCGCATCTGTTTTAGTGCCCAACGAGATGCGTAATAAATGTAGTTTCATATTACATAGAAAGTCAATCCCACGTCCCAAAACGTGTCTGGAAGCCTAAATATACCGAGTCTTTTAAATAACCACTGTAAAAGGATAGGAACACACCCAGTGCACAATAAATAACCCTCGCACTCACGTTGGAATGTCAAATATGTGTAACCAATTTATGACGTTGACTGATTCCAACGTAATATATCTATATGTATACACTTTCTAGTCTTTTTCTGTCTACATAGTGCTACTACGTAGTGTGCAATTAAATTCGCAAGTTACAAACTTCAACACGCAGCATAAACCATACTGGGTGTTGTATTTTCTAACACTTTCGAACTGGAGTTCATGTCACCAAGGTCGTTGAATACACGTTCTATTTTCATTCCCATCGAGACTATAAGCTCTTCTTTTCTTCGGACAGCTGACTTGCTCAACAATACACTTTATTATATTAAGTAGATAGGGCGTCACAATCAATAAATACAACGGCCATGTAACACTACTCACATAACACTATTTTGTTTCAAGCATGTTTTACTGACCAGAAACCTACTTGTATAAGGACAAAATGTGCTAGCATTAGCAAAATTGTTTATATGCATTGAAAACCCGCAGCGTGACGCAATATAAAGTTTAGATTTTGGTGTATTTTCACTTTATTTCTGTAAAATGCACATGTTTTGTTCATGAAGTGACTTATAAATTGGGCTGGGGCTCTAAAAAATGGAACATGTCATTATGAAATCTCTACTCACAAACAGAGGCGGCGGTGGCAGCTTTTTTTTTACTGTAGGGGCAAAGATTATATGTCGTGGGCGCGAGGGGCCCGACCTTTCTAGGGGGTCCGGGGGCATGCTCCCCCGGGAAAATTTTGAAATCTAGACCCTCTGAAACGCTGTTTCCTGCATTTTGGGGAGCAAATTTTGATGGTACACTTAGGTATATTTCTCTTACGTTTTCTGGAGATGGGTGTGTGAGTGTCGGAAGGGCCGCACGGTGTGCAATTCCACCGACATTTGCGGTGGATTTTAGTGACAAATATAGATGAGTGTTTCACCTTATTTTATCGCGGGGGCGACCGCCCCCACGGTGCCGCCGCCACTGACACAACACACATAAACAACCATGTGACACGAATTCCCAGCGTTACGCACATAACCTGCGTACATGGGCAGTGTGTCGGGGGGGGGGG